TACTCGAAGAGTAAATAGGGTATATTGTATTTCTGCACAAAGTGAATGTATGTAACACACAAAAGAAAGGTATATAAAGTATATATATTCTTGATCAGCATCAATAGCCGAGTCGATTGAGCCATGTCTGTCTGTCCGTCCGTCTTGTTGAGCGCCTGGATCTCAGAGATCATAAAAGCTAGAGCAACCAAATTTTGCATCCAGACTTTTGAATGCTCACACTGTTACAAGTGTATTTCAAAAATAAGCCACGCCCCCTTCCGCCCCCGCAAAAGGGCGAAAACCTCCCAAATCTACAATTTTGAAGATAAACCAAAACGCCATTTCGTAGGGAATGACCATATCTATCAGATCTCCAAATTGGGATCCGATTGGATCATTATTAAAGCCAAAATGAAGAAATTAATTTGCAGTTTAATTCCACATTCTCTCATTCACACGCTGCATCTGCTTCACTCGGCCCCTGCCTCTGCCGTCCCTCTGCCTCTGCCGAATTTTAACCCACACCGTTCCGCAGCTTATATTTGTTTTTTTGTGTGCGGGCGCTGCCTCTGCCTCTGCCGCGAGTCTGCAGTGTGTGGTTCTAGGGAAGGGCGGCGAGCTTAAGGAGCGTTTTAGTGTGGTGAGTGTTGTAGATGTAGATGACAGATGAAGAAAAAGTTTAAAATTTGACAAAACACCGCTAAGGTGCAGACTGTAGTACTGAGTGCCGGGTATAAAAGTTGTGACGCGTAGGAAGCGTCTCACACGTCCCTTCTCGTTTTTTTTGGGCATGTTGTCATCCTTAGGCTTTTGGCGTTGTTCAAACGCCCCCACATCGAAATGGCAGACGCTGTCAGTGATGCTCCTAGTTTACCCCCTAGCCCTCGTCTCTTCTCTTGCCCTTGCGTCCTCTAAGTCATTCTGTCGCTGCCTTTTTGAACTTTAATATACTGCAACATTCATGTGTTTGTGCTGGCGACACTCATTCTTTCTCTGTCTCAATCGCTATAGATGACTCTTTCTCATCTCTCTCTCTCTCTGTCTTACTGCTTGGTTTGCTTTTCCGTATGTGCTGATGTCCTGTGCGTCTGCTTAGGACACCAGACAGCTCAATTTTACAAAGGGCGTTGATGTAAGCACACACAGACACAAGCTGCAAAAGGGGGAAGGGTCTGGGGAAGGACCTTGGTAGTTGTAATAGTAATTCCATTTATAATTTACTGTCGTCGATTTATAAATGAGCCTAAGCCATCAACGTTCCACCAGCAGCAGGCAGGAGCCAGGCCAGGCAGCCAGGCAGGCAGGCAGACAGGATCTGTGCCTCAGACTCTGCTCCTGCTTCTGGGGGCTGGGGAGTGATTCTGGCAAGTGCTTAACATAATTTTAGGCGCATTTGTGGCATCAACATGGACGCATTTGCATACGAGAGTGTCTGCACGTGTGTGTCGCACACTGCAACAAAAACTTCAACATTATTCTTTACTTAAATAATATTCTAACAAATCATAGACAACAAACAGCCAGCCAGATTAGTCCTACATATGTGTGTATGTCCTTTGTCCTGCACACATCTACACCTTTGTAAGTGTCTGTCTATGATCTTTTGATCTTTCCTTTACTTACTCTGTGCTTGCTGCAGCATTTTGTGCCAGTGCATGGAGCAGTCCCGAATGTCGCATTAGTCGGGGCCACAGGTGCGGCCGGCGAGGGAAGGCTTTTAAGCTGAGCCAAGCCCCTACCCCAGCCCTGCCCCCTGCCTGGAGTCTACCATTTGTGTGTGCCTAATCATGCCACATGCCACACGCCGCACACGCTTATTACAATTTTTTAAAGTGCAGACGACCAAACCAGAAGGCAACCTAAAATCTCAGATTACTGATATGTCCGAGCAGTCTCTTGTTCTCTCGAACACACACACACACAGCAGGTGTCCTGCCACTGACTTGACTTGAAAGCACCTGCCAGCATAACCCAATCGAGTGGCTTCTAATGGCGCAGAGTGGCGACCGAGGATGAGTGAATGATTTTCTATGGCCACTTCATATCTTTGACATTCGCCAGTCGCCAACACGTGGACGAGTGCCAGATACGCACCATTGTTGATGCCAGATACTTGTAAGTAGATACAGATACAGATAGCCATTAAGCCATGATGAACGAATGAATCAAAGAGGGCTTTAGCTTCTTATTATATTTTATTTGGAGTACAATTTCAACTAGGTTTTGAACATCCCAAAGCTGTGGGAGAAGCAGATCTCCACATCTATTTTTTTTTTATGTTAATTAATCGCTACAGCTAAATTGGATGGGTCCGGTGGGTCCGCATTGTACTTCAGTTTATGTTGGGGAAATATTAAAAAAAAATATTTTACTGAAAATTTTGAATATTAAATATTAAAAAATTATATTAAAAATATATTTATATTAAAAAAAAATATTTTACTGAAAATTTTGAATATTAAATATTAGAAAATTATATTAAAATTATATTTATATTAAAAATATTTTTCCTCAAATTTTGAACCTACAAAAAACACAACAACAAGAGAATATATTGTTATATTTGCTTTATTTCTGCTAGCAAACTCATCTCCATATCTATGGAGGAATAAATAAATAATAAAATTATATGCTGAAAATAACTATTTATATTTTTGTATTATTAATTTTAGTTGAAAGGAAGCAGATGGATTATCATTATGAGTCCTTGGTCTCCGTTGTCTAAATATGTGGTTTAGTTTTTCTCTAATTATTGTAAACCTTCCCTGATAGATCTCTTAAATCCAAGCAGAACCAGTGCCAGTACCAATCCCTGTCAAGACCCTTTTCCTCGTTCGTTTCGGCCACAACTTAAAGTGCAGAGCGAAAATGTAGCCATAACATTTTACTAATCGTTTCCCCCCATATAGATATCTATGTATGGTGTGATGGTGGGAGTATGTTTTAAGCATATGCACAAAACTTTTTGTAATTTGTTATATGTGCCAGTGCGACTGCGGAATGAAGACGTCTGCAAAGCAGTCTCCAGTCTTGGCTGCAGCTTCCACATTCCCCACCCGAAAACTTATGAAATGATGATACCCAGAAAGCAACAAATTTTAATTGCAAGAAAATGTTCGTAATTCACGCACGCAGGCAGACAGACACAGAGAAGCGCAGAAAAGGAGTAGGATGAGGATGAAGAGGAGGGGAGGGGAGGAGAACGGGCAGCGACAGACGGTTGCACCACATGCATGATGCTGAGACTTATGGTAGATACAAATGTATCTAAAGTAGCGCTAACCAGGCAGTGTGGCCTGCTCCAACTGCTGCTCCTCTAGCCTCCCTCCCTACCAGTTTAGCCAGCAAGAGGACAACACGTTCTAAAACTCGCTAAAGTTTTGCCCGAGGAAACTGTAACTGTTACTGGAACTTGCCCTATCCCTGCCTCCCCAGCGACTATCTGTCTGCGTATCTGTATCTCTCTGTGTGTGTTTGCATTATAAATTTATTTAGCAAAAGCGCGTAAAGCGCATAAATTGCTGGAAGCACAAGCTGCTCCAGCGGCTGGGTGTCTGTGCCACCCACCAAAAACGAAGAAACAGCAGCAGCCAAGAGCCAGCAACCGGAAGTAGCAGCAGGAGCAGCAGGAGGAGCCAGCCTTTGCCATGAATGCAACCGTGTGCTCCACGCTCCATGCTCTCTCTCTCCCTCACTCTCGCTCTCTGTTTGTGTTTGTGTGTGTGAAAAATTGAAATTTATTGTTATTGTAAGCTCCCCATACAAAAAAAACCACACGAAAAACAGGGGCGAAAGGCGTTGAGAACGTTTGAATGTGGAGCATGGAGCATGGAGCATGGAGCTGTGCATGTGCGTGTGATGGGTTGCACCTTCTGCTATTTGCTGTTGAATCACTCGCCGACAAAATAATAATGTAATAATAATTTTTCCAACTCGTTAACACACAGGCACACAAATGTCTCACCTTTTACCCTCCACTTACTACCAGCACCAGCTCCAGCTCCAGCTCTTCCCCCTGCTGCTTCGTTGTGGGAATTAATGATGCGGAACTGGCCAAAGGAAATGTTTGGTTCAGTGGCGATTAAGTTCGACGATCGATTCCAGAAGTGCTGATGAAGTTTGTCCAAAGATTAACGAAATTTAGGGCTAGCATTCCTACAGTGCCACAGAAGTTGGGGGAGAAAATAAGTTGGAAGAGACAATTTGGAGACAATAATGCTGCAAGGAGCGTGGGTATATATACATAAATAAAAGCCAATTCAAATTATAGAGAAATCATTAAAAATATGATTTAACAAGGAGCTAGAAATTGGCAACGCAATAAAGCTGGCAGAAGGCTTGGAAATTATATGGAAAATGTATAGAAAGAGTATTTTGAACATGGACATTGGACATTGTTTATGTGCTCATTAGAAATTGCCATGAATGAATCAAATATGAAATGCAAGCTTGAAACCTCCACCAAATATGGAATGCTTCTTGCCAGCTGTACCTCCAGAGTGATTTGTCCAACTTCTCTTTCGATTGGAGCTCCAGCCATTCGAGCATTCCTTTGCTGTCCACTGTCCTCTGTCCCCCCTGTCCACTCTGTGCACTGTGAGGCCACTTGATAGCTCTCTCTTTCTGCATTTGGCTTTCTTAGCTGTCTGTTTTTCCTGGCAACCGCACCTGCGGCTGCCAATATTGTTTTTAGTCAAGCAAAAAGCACACGAAATCAATTTGTACAAATGCTCGAAAGAGCTTCTCGGGCACAAAGACAGAGACAGAGGCAGAGTAAGGAGGAACACTCCTCCTCGATGACAGCACAAATAATTGAAATCAATTTATTGGCATAAATTGCTTTAATTAAAGGAAAAGCAATACCCCCAAAAAGGGAATTATGAAATCAATCAGCGGATCAAGATGCCAAAAACGAATTCAAGCCGACAAGTGTACATTTTTCGGATTTCTTTATTTTAATGACAATAAATTAAATTTTACAAATTCATGGAAGCCATCCATCCCCTCAACAGTCTGCTCCTGGAAGTCAATTCCGATGGCGGCTTGGAGCTCGGCAGTTGTAGTTGGAGTCGGTTTGTTGTAGTTGTGCCGTCAGCGGCTGTACTGGTGGATCCTCCAGCGGACATGGCAAGGGTTCCTCCATAATTTGACATATCTCCTGTGGGCAGGTGGGGATGGACTGTGGATATACGTGTGTCTGCAGATGTGTGGATCTCAACCTACTGTGTATAGCTGAAAGAAGGGCACCAGCAGTGTGTGATTGCCCATGTCATGTTTGAACTGACACAATGCCTTCAATTGTGCATCATTGGGGTCCGATGCGTAGCCGTTCTTCTTGCGCCACTTGGCACAGTCGACTCTTGTGCATTTGTTTTTGCGCAGAAAGGCTTGCAACTCATTGTTTACCGTAGATTCGTACAGCTGATCCACCGAAACGTTTGTCGAACCGCCTCTGCGGAGAGCTGCCTGCACGTCGCGCACCCAGGCGGACGCTGCCTGCCAAGAGCTGGCATAATTGGTGGCGCTGCTGTGGCCGCTTGGCAACGTCGAGTGGCTTGGCGACAAATACCGATTGTCCATTAATCTCCGACTAAAGATCGATGAGTCATTTGATTCATATGTGCTATCTGTGTCATCGGTATCGCTCGTATCGCTGGCATCGCAAACCTCATCCATCAGGTCCCGCAGGCAGTCGGCTGCAGCGCTGAACGTCGTCGTATCCGCCACCCTGGGTTGCGGATCCTACAGCGGCTCCCAGAGCTTGGTCATCTCCTGCTCCTGGGCGTGCAGCAGTTCGCGATCCTTGCGGGCCAGCGAGATTGCAAAATTGACGAAATCCCTGAAGGACGCATTCATTCGGTTGTGCGAATTGGGACTCTGTATGTGGTAGGGCCGCTCTCGTCGTAGAGCCACTCGCGCACATTCTCCAGTCGGGGATCAAGGGAACTTGGCATCAAGCGATTTTCGAACTGCGGCCATTGATTGATGACGCTTAAGTCCCTTTGTACTCGATCGTACAGTCCAGGGCAGTAGCCGATGGCCCGGAAGATAATGGGATCGCTGACCAAGTTTAGGCCGTGGGGCAATCTTCGACGTGGCTTCAGCAAGCAGAACCAAATTTCCAAAAGCCGGCCTAGGGGCATGCGCGTGAAGCGCACGCACTCCATCAGGCGGGGCAGCGTGGATACGCGCTGCTGCGGAGAGATGCACATCCAGCGCAGGGCAGCGTAGAACACTTCGAGTTCGGTGTTGACACCAATGTTGTCCTGCTGCAGCAGCACGCACACATCCTCCAGCGGCATTCTCGCGTACTCCAGGCTGCCCACGAGCGTCAGGAAGTACTTGCCCACATGCTGCAGCATCGACCTGCAGAGATTGCCCATGGCCGAGCTGCCGTATTTTTGGACACGGCTGTACACCTGCAGCGCCCGGCGCTCCTGGAAGTCGTTCGAGCCCAGCCGGCGATGGCACAGCATCTCCAGCTCGAATATATTCAAATGCTGTGCTGAGTACAGCAGATCCTCAATCCGCTCCGGCTCATTGTGCCCTGCGATCTGCGAGCTGGCATCGAGCGGCTGCTGCAGCCGCATCCAGTCATACGCTGCCCGAAAGCCCAACGGTGTCAACTCCGGCAGGCTGTACACCTGCAGTATCGGCTGCCGTCTGAAGTAGTTGCTGTGGCGACTCAGCAGGGCACCAATGCACCAGAAGGTGGCCGGACCCACTGTCACGCGCACCATGGCGCCCAGATTGCGCTGCAGCATCTGCTGCCAGTCTGCATCGGAGTTGCACTCGTGCGGCTGTTTGCTGCGCACATTTGTGGTCAGAAAGTGGGCATCGGACCAGGGCATGGCATCGGACAGAGTCTCCCGCACCTGCTGGAGCCGCCTGTTGCGCTCCGTCACGCGTATGCGATGTGCGCATCTACTGCGCGCTCCTCGTTCTGCTGACCATTTACTATGGCCAACCAGTTGCGCTGGTCAAAGGGCAGCTCCCGCTGCACCTGCTGATACTCTGGGGGTAATTGTGACTGGAATACTTCTGTTGGTTGTGGCTGTGGCATGTCTATGGCAAAGCGTCTTTATCTGCAAGCAATTTGAGTTCAAAATTAGTTGGGATCGGGTTTGGGGAATCGGCAATTGGTTGGGCACTTGTCGCCTTTCCAATTACATTTCAAGAGTGCGATAATTAATATCCGCAGCTTGGGCCACGGCCCTCTTTTTTGCGTGCAAATCGAATCGTTTCACTTCCTTTGAATTAAAAACACACGCCCCAGGGCATGCCCATCGCGAGTGGTGGGACGGGGGGAGTCGCTTACCTTAAACAAAAATTCAAATCAAAATATAGTAATACGAACGCTCTCTAGTCGCATATGTTGTGTTCGAGTCTATACTGGAGAGACACACTGAAAGGTGAGCCCAAAAGCAAAGGAAACTACTTTGCAACACACACAAAATCTCAGAGCATAGCCCCCTGATATATAAGATCTTAAAGCATTCTAGCTAAAGTTTGTGGAATTAAAAATTGAATTTGCAGCGCATTCAAGGATTCATGCTGGCCGCTCGACAATTCATCCCTGTGCGTGATGGCACTTAGTGATTGATTTCTCATTCCATTCCAAGTCATCCACCACAAATCCAATCACTCGCCCTCTTGGGCCCCCGCTAATGGAATTTTAACACAAATTAGTTGTATTGCTTAAATGCCAGGCCGTAATTTTGTTAATGCCAAATGCCAGAAACACGGAAAACAGGGAAAACAGGATTCAGCAGCCTGAGAGCCAACGCCTGAGGCATTTTTTGGGTAATTACGACAAAAGTTGCGTTGGAACTCTCCACCGCAAAAACAATTTATTTGGCCAGCAGCTCCTCCAGCGAACATTTTCCCAAATCTGAGCTGTGGCCATGAATCTGACTCCTGGCTCTGATTCTGATTCTGCTCTCTCTCTCTTTTAAGTCATATTCAATACTTTCTTCTTGTCCTTGCAATAAAAGCAAATCAAACAGCAACAAGTGCTGCTGATGCTTGTGCAGCTGAAATGAAATCATTTAACCTCGGGGGCCACAACACACAGAAAGCCACAAATGGAAGCCCAAAATGGGAGCCACAAGGAGCGAGGCGAACCGAAACGTTGTGAAATAATATTGAACATGATTTATGCCATTTCACTTTGAGCTTAAGAAAAATATTTGGCAAACGGTCGAGAAGCCAAAAACCAGCGGCCAAAAGCGTTTCAATTTGTGGACAGAGGAGGCGCTTTGTGGGAGGTGGAGTGGCAGCACAGAACCAATAAAGTTTCGGATAAGAAAAATAATGATATGAGTTGAAGCAGAGTGGGGAAAGCCAAGCTGAAAAAGAGTTCTGTGGCATAGAAAACGATGAAGAAATTATGAGAAATATGCAGCTTAAAAATGTATTCTATAACCGAATAAATGAAAGGAAAGCAAAGATGGAGGATTGAAGGCCAGCAAACTGCGTGATAGGTTCCAGGATACTCATTAGATACTCAAAAATATTCCAGCATGGTTCAAGAATGAATTGTGGGCTGGGATCGTTTACCCTTTTGCATTGGGTATAGAGAGAGTTCCTCCTCCTCTATTGAGATCCCTCAAGAGATCGCTTTGTAAGAGACAAATGAAAAATTATGTTAATTTTCTGGGGGAGCAACACAAAAAAAAACTGTAACTCCAATTGCCGATTGCCTACCAAGTTACTGGCTCCTGGAGCTGGAGCTGGAGCACGCTCCAAAAGCAATATGGAAAAATCTCATAAACCCAAAGGGTTTCCAGGCATTCCGGCACGTTGGCAATTTATTTGCCGTGGCAGGAGCCAGGGGCTAGGGCAGAGACATGGCCAACTATTTAAAAGAACACACAATAGGAGGAGCGAGCAGGCAGGCAGACTCCGAAGTAGAGGCGGATGGGGAGTCGGAGGCAGAGGCAAAGGCGATTTGGGGCATGGTGGTGCTGGAGTGGAGAGTCCGTGATTAATGCCCGTCGTGGGCTTTTGTGCCTTCGTGTGCAAATTTCGTGTAATCTACTTTAAAGCCCGAGCATTGCATAATTTGAGGCAAGAGACCTGGCCCCGAAGTACTCTCTCTCTCTCTCTAGCTCTCTCTCTAGCTTTTGCTGCTCCTATTCCTGTTCCTGACCCTCGGATTAGCTGGCCAGCACGAGGAGCAGCAGGAGCACCAGGAGCACCAGGAGAGGCTGCAATATTTAGGAGCCAAACGGGATTGGCTCCAAGTGGGTGGAGTGGTGTGGTGTGGTTAGGTTGGCAATCTCCCAGGCAACCGCCAGAGCTATGGAGTGTTATTAAAATCATATCTGACAGGCACATTTGTCTTTTGTACTTCGCTCTGTAGCTGTACCTGTGTTGGCTGTACCTATACTTAAATTGTGGTTGCAGCAAGTTAAAGCGTGGCCAGAGCAGCGAGCTTTAGATGGGACCAAGATATGGGTTAAGTGGCGCTTCCACTTCCGCTTTCGCTGCAGAAGTCAGTCCAGTCAAGTGTCTGTCCCCAGTGTGACAGTTAACAGGCTCTAATTAAAGCCAAGACTTAAGGTTAGCTAACAGAAAACAGAACACTTGCAGCATTAAGTGCGGTGAGGAGTAGTCAAGCAGAAAATACGAAGGAAATGTTCATTAAATTTGATAAGAAAACAAATTCTTACAAGTGCTTTATTTTGGTGTACTTTAGATGATGATTAGATCACATACAATGGATCAATACCTAAAGATCTGTCGAAAGTGCCCCTCAAGTATAACCCCTTGGTCTGCTCAAAAGTACCCACCCCACAGAGGGGTGGCGGATAAATCCGATTTGACGGGCTTCCAAATCGCTTGGACTATCGTTGGGTATGGGCATAAAATTGTCAGGCAGCCGCATAAGCATTCCAGCAATATGGTGACCCCGACCACACACTTCCGGCTTACAACTCTCACTTTGAGTGTGAGCAAGAGGGAGAGGGAGGGCAGGAAGGTTCTGTCGCGGTCTGTCCTTGTCGTTTGCGTTGTTGTTCTCTTCTGTTTTATTGTATTGTGGTGTCGTGTTGCGCGGTTTTCCTTTAGTGGTCGTAAACAATTTTTACAGCACCAACATTTGGTGGCACTACGCCCCTGCCCCATTGCCGCCACAGCTGCCTCTGCTGCCTGTCAGTGGGCTGTGCCATTTTATTTATATTTTTATATTTATTGTGTTTATATATTTAAAGCACAAAATGGCGCACAGCATTTTAGTTAACGCTTAGCGCCATTTTCCGACCCTCCACACCATTGCATTTGCAGCCAAGGCCAAGTGGCAGTCAATGGGTAGGCGGGGGAGGCATGGCTGTGCTGACGCTGACGCTAAGTAGTTGAAAGACTCCCGATTCCCTCTCTCGCTGGTTGCAAGTTTTGTTTGCCTCTTGCTGATTTCATTTGTTTGCTCTTTTCTACTTTTCCTTTCTCACTGCTTCCTCCTCCACTTCCCGCTCGCTCTCTCTCTCTCGCACTCTCCCTCCCACTCACTTTTTTAACTATTCAGCCGTTCCGCTCTGCCAGCCGCTCGAGTGCCTGTTTCTCTGGAGAAAAGTTTTGGCGCATTTATTTGCGTAAATGGTAGGCAGGCCCGCAAATCTTGTTGCATACTTTTTGGGGCAGCAGCCATTCCAGCTGTCCCCTGACGTCCTCGTCCTCGTCCACGTCCACGTCCTGCCTGTGAAAAGCGTTAATTTATGCATGTCACAGGCAGCCAGCACGGACCAGCAGGAAATAACCATAAAGATAAGTTGAACCTGTGTACAACGATTAACTAGACAGAGAAAGAGCTCCACTGCCGAGACTGTGATCCATTGAAGAGTTCATTGAACTAACCCCAGCAAAGGCTATCCATATCTCGATCCTATACACTTAATGGCACAATGAGGCTGAGGCAGAAGGCTCTACTACTCTTTTTTCTGCAGGAGCATTTACTTTCGATTCGTGCTGTTGATGTATTATCCGCTGGATGCCCTGAGTTTCCTTTCCTGATTGCCTGCCGGGCATGTCCCTGTCGGAGCCCCCTTTCGAATTGACATTGAACATATTGTAGGCCACCCATCGGAGCGAGTGAGAGCGGGTGGCGCATGGCAGAACGCAGCAGTCAGCAGCCAGTCACGGACCCAAGTGTCAGCGCCGTCTCTCCTGTCGCCTGTCGACTGTCGACTGCCGCCTGTCGCCATTCACATTCCCGTTTATTGCTTTGCACAACATTTGCTGGGTACGGAAGAATGGGCGAAAATGGGGAAATGTAAATGAAGAAAATGAGTTGAACAGAGCACGAGTAGACAAAGATAAACAAAAATAGAATTGTCCAATTGCAGGAGGTTCAAATGTTCAGATGGAAGAGGAGACAGCAGTGAAAGCGATTCGACTCTGCTAAGATGTTGGCATTGCCATTTCCATTTCCATTTCCCTTCTCATGCTGGGAAATTTATTTTCGATTTTTATCTATTTTATCCCCCTCCACGTCCCATCATTGGCCTATCAATGTGGCTTCTCTGTGTGTAAGTATGTGTGTTGACAGTGGCAATTGCTTGAATAAATAGAGGAGCGAAAAGCTGATGCGAGTGCCTGAACCATCTGGGTAAAGTCAACACGAGAAGTAGAAGAGTGGACTAGGAGGAGAAGGAGAAGGAGGAGAAGGCTCTTCTGCCACACATCTACATCTACATCTACACACATTCGTTTATGGATCCTAGGAGCGAATGCATTTCTCATATTTCTCATATTTTCAAATGAAATTCCATGCAGCGACAAAGAGAAATGAGCTCCATGCCAGGCAGCCAAACAAATGATGGAAGGATGCCTCAGACAGAGACAGAAACACTAGACAGAGATGGGGACGTGGTGATGCTGCTACTGATTCTGAATGAGAAATATCACAAGAGAGAGAGAGAGACAGAGCGGTATCAAAATATAAAAGTTAATAAATGCAAATACTTTTGGGTGGGGGGTGCAGAGGTCAGGTGGTATTGCAATTAATGAAAAAGTTTGTCAAGTTGAGGGGAGTAGGACATCAAGAGTATTTGGATATGGATAGATGGACATAAAGATACATCAGAAATAGTTTAATAGACCCAGTGGAAAAAGGAACTGGAATTTACATTCATTTAAGGGAGCAGAAAACTGGCGAGGATTACATAACATTCGGTACACAAAGATCGCTTACTCTCGGGGATCCTGGCTACCCCAGGAAGCCCAAACGGGTCCACTACGGATGGCTGCTGTACTCACAGAAGAGCCCATAAATTGTTTCAACCCCCCACAAAGCGGATGCCAAATGACAACGGAACTGAGTCTCGCTTATTGGGACTTGGAACTCCGCCTGTGGACTCCGACTGGGGACGGGTGCACCTATTTTGTTTTTGC